GAGACTTTCTGACAATGTTGATTAAATATATCTGTCTACTAAAGGTGCATCTTGTGGTCATAGGCTATCCCTGAATACCTTGATTTTCAGGGTACAGTGGAGACACCCATGTCAGTTTGGCTCCTTATCCATTGCAGATTTTCTTCTGTGCTTTATAGGCACTAGCCATGCTGTTCTATGGTGGTAAACCTATTTTGGGAATAGATTTCAGCCCCATGCACAGCTCTTATCAGTCAGAATTAAAACTGCAGTCAATGAGAAGCCATGTGGCACAGCAGTCACCAGCCTAACCTGTTGATGATATTAAAGAAATTTGGGTCCTTGTGAGAACTGGGCCCAGTGAGAGGTCTGGAGAGCCTGAAACTATCTGCTGCTTTTCTGCCAGGTGCAGGCAGAGAAAGACGCCAGGAACTGGTCTATATTTATTATACATGTCAGCTTGGAGGTGTAGTTTCATATATATATGGGTGGGGCAGGCAGTTTGGGAGAGGAAAAATGATTAAGTTCAGTATAAAAATAGCACATTTCTTTATTTCACTGGCCCTGCACAATCTCAGAACAAGAGGGACATAAAAAGAAATGGTATGCCTACCCGTTGGTATTCACAGCTATAATTTTCTCTGCATGTGAACATGTGTTCACAGTTGTAAAGAGATGCTGAATAATTGCACGTGTGAGGCATCTTCTCTTTAACATCCAAAGCATGTTCAAAGGCTTCTTCAGTCTTGTGTAAAAATGTTTCCACTGACCACAGAGTTGTGGCCTTTTGTTTGTCCCTAACAAGCAATGCTGCTTCTCTATAACTGTAATTACTAGCACTTGAGCAGTTTTGTTTCCTAAGCTGAGCTACTGCAGAAGATCATTTGTGATACATGTTCCATTGTCTGAGGTAGCCCTCGGAGTTCCTGACTGCAGAGGATGAGCAAAGGCTGACCTACCAACTCCGTCCTTCAGGACTGTGGCTATTGTCTGGAAGGCTGATGGATTTCTCTCCTGTGCTGACCACCTGGTTCATAGTGTTTAACCACTGAAAGAAATAAAACGGAGAGAGGGGTGGGGGATGGAGCTCATATATACCTTAGAATCTTTCCTCCTAATCTCTGAAGCATATGGACGATTTTTTGTCTTGCTGCTCACTAGTAGATGAGCAGGGGGTAGAGGAGCATATGAAGCAACCTTCTGTGGTAGCTCAGTATGTGGCTGGGCAGCGGTCATTTGTAGGCCAAGGCTGGGCCACTTCATAGGGTCCAAAGACGATTTTCATACTTTCTGGATCCCAGTGTAACGTGCTCTTGCCACCAGTCCCACACAGACTAATTTGGTGGTGGAAACCACATACCTCCAGCAGCTTGCTACCAAAATTTAGTGGCAAACCACAGCACCTTGCTGGCTGGGGAATGCCACAAGTTGCAGGACTAGTTTCTACTTGTACTTACATATGCATAAGATTGTACCCAAATTAAGTATGCAGAAACATTCAGAAATATGAATAGTATGGTGAGAGCCAGCAGGACAAGTGTCAGGAACATTCCAGTAGAGAGTTGGAGTGAGGAGTGCTTATAGTGGAGGAGGTGGTCTTTCATCCTGGTGGATGTCCTATTTGTAAGTAGCAGCTGGTCATAACCACTAGCTGCAATGTAGTGAGTGCAGTTAGGTCAATTGTGTGTGTCTGGTTGATGAATGGGACATACGTAGTTTGAATGGCTGATGATATAGTTGCATTGCAAATGGGTACTGAACATGCGGTAATTTCTGGTACAGCAAGATGTGCCTGAAAGAGTTTGATGCTGAATTTTTTTATTCTGGGAATCACAGAAATACAGTACAGTAGTAATAGTAGTAGTACAGTTTTAGTAAATAAACCCAGGGAGATTTACTGGTGGCAAAATCAACTATTCAAGGTTATGGCTGTTTTTACTATTTTAATTTTCAAGTGTTTGAATCAGCTTACTCATTCTTCTCATAAAAGCCAGTCCTAGGAAGAGAGTTTGCAAATATTTCATGAAAAGGGATGTGTTTTGTCTGAGCCATAAATGAGAGGAAAATGGGTAAATTATGGATGAGAGGAAGTGCAGGTCTAGGATTTAAGGCCTATTTAAAGAGATATCTCCAACAGTGTTCCTGTTTCTCCAGCCAGAGGGGACCTCTTGCTCTATTGGTAATTGTATCTTTTCTCCAGTGCATTACAGTGCTTGGTGATTCCACCATGTTTCCTGAAAATAAGATCTTATATTAAGTTTTGCTCCAAAAGACATACTAGGGCTTATTTTCAGGTGATGTCTACATTATTTTTCATGTACAACAATCTACATTTATTCATGGACAAACATCTACATTTATTCAAATACAGTCATGCCATCTCCTTCTGGAAAATTCTCATAACTCTCCAAACCCCGAATTGTGTTGCAATGGATGTACTAAACGCATCCATCTGGCTGATGATCTTAACTGGGGCTTATTTTTGGGGTAGGGCTTATATTAGCATCCTGAAAAATCATGCTAGGGCTTATTTTCTGGTTAGGTCTTATTTTCGGGAAAGGAGGGTAGCTTTTTCTAGTGTTATACTAGCTTTATTTGTTTAGCCACTTTGGGAGTATATTTGACCAAGAGTGAGATGAAAGCATTTTGTAATAAAGTAACGCAAAATCAATCCATAATGGACACCAAGTGATCTATTGCTTTAAAGATTTCTGAGATAAACACTTATCTTTCTTCATGTTAGGTAAGGTATCCTTGGTCTCTTGGGTTGCCTTAAATTATGCAGTACAGCATATCAAAAGGAAGATGAACATGAGTATCTGTTGATTTTTGCAAGTTCATTACATTTCTTCTGCATGTTTCTGATATCCTAAAGTTTTAAAGAATCACTCCTTAATCAAACCAAACAAATTTAGAATGATTTTGGGTAAGGACAAGATCAATTATGGTAATTATTTTTCAGGCTACTGAAGTCCAGCTCTTTGACTTTTGTCTTTACCTGCTTCGCAAAGGCTTTTCAATTTTTTTCCAAGAGTTTTCCTCAACAACAGAGTGTCCTAGATGCCAATAAGAGCAATAATGAAATGTGTTAGAATGTTACTCTTGGAATATATCTCCGAAAAATAACTGCTTTATAAAGTGTGGGAGTTTGTTCTTGGAAACAGGATACAAAACAATGAGCATGGTGCACAGGCATCATAAACAAAAGGCTTATGACATTGATTGCTCGGCTAATGCTGTTACTTTGTGTCTTTTGTTGGTATGAATTCTTTGTAATACTTCTCTAGGATGATTTTCCTTGCATGACTACAGAGGGCAGCAGTGATGAGCTGTCCCAAGTCATTTATGGAAGCAACAATTCAGGGGAATAATCTTATGAAGAGCCCTGCATCTCTGTATTTATTGCAAACTTTAAAATGTCACAAAAGCAAGGCTAACACTATCAACCTAGTGTGGATGAAGTTCCTAGTGTGCCAATTAAAGAGCGGGAAAAGGTTATCGAAATGTACATTTTGATTTTAAAATCCCTTAGACTTTTCATCACTGAGCAGAAACCAATTTTGTGACATTCTAGAGAAGTAATGAATAGTAAGAGCAATTAGTTTTCATTTTTAATTATGTAAAGGCTCCAGAATAAAGGAATATATGATGTGCCCCGAGGCTGCCTGCATATTTTACTCTCAGGTTACCTCTAATTTAGCGATTGAAATGCAGGAAAGGAGCTCTTGCATAGACTCTATCTCATTCCATCATTCACTTGGCTCTGCTCCACAGAACAAGAAGTGCTTTTCATTCAGGTGTGTTTATGATGAGCAAACCTGACCAGATGTTAAGGCTTCTTTGTATATGCACCTTTATTAGTTTGGTGGAAAGGGATACTTCCTCCCTCCCTCCCTCCCTCATCTGTCCCTTCCTTAGCTACATCTACACCATCCTGGAAATAAATAGTTGTTTATGCAAAAATGACGCCACAACCTCTGAGGGAATATGGGTGTTTCTAGGTGACAGTTTGGAGCCAGGATCTGCTTTTCACCAGAGTAAGACCCTTTCATTACATAAAAGGTCCCACTTAGGGAAGTGGCATCTCCCTGAATTCAGGGCACCTGCCCCCCTGCTGCAGCAGCTTGCTCCATTTAGCAGGGTCTCCTGACTCTGCATTTTTGGGGGACTGAAGGATCTGTTTTGGGAAGAAGGAAGCAGGGAGATCCACTTCTACCTGCACAGTTGACCTAGTGTCAGTCAGGATTTAACCTAGACTGTCTTCATGCACTTATTGTACCTTATCCATGGGATTTTATGTGCAGGGGGGCGGTGTGCACATCCAGAAGATGTCATCTTCCACTTATAACCCTATTGTTGTTTCTTCCATTTTTTGGTTTGCATAAAAAGCATCTGTTAAAGAAGAAACTATAGAATAGCCATCAAAACCCTTGTATTGTTAGCACAAGGGGTTCTCCATCTGAAAGCAGCCCAAATGACCACAGGCATCATTCAAGGAAGACCATCATCTAATAGTTGAATAATGCCACTGGTCAAAGCTGGGATCCCATCTCTTGATTTGAATTTGTAAAATCTATTCCTATGGGAAATGTGTGTTTTAATTATGTATAAACTGTACAATCCTATACAATTCTACTGGAATATACATCCCATGAAATTCAATGGGACTAACCCCGGTATGTATATACATAGGATTACAGCCTTAGAGTATTTATCAATCTCTTTTCAAGATATGTTCTCAAACTAACCTACATAGATTTACAAAAACTGTCAAGCTAAATAAATAACATAAGAACCAATCAACAATAGAATATAAGCAACCATCAAATGTACACAAAGATGGAAGACACAGCCTATCTCTGTAATCTGGCGTGTGTAAGAAGCGTTACTGGTCATTAGTGCATGCATGTAGAAATTTCTATGTCCTTCTATGTCCTATTTCTAATGCAAATTAGAAATTCTATGTCCTTCAGAACATGCCCTGACTGCAGCCATCTTTATAATTCTCTTCTGCCTTACAGAGCTAAGTTCTGACAATGAAATACACTGTGGGGGAATACAGAGGAAGCTGAAGAAGCAGATTTGTTCACTGCAAACTCCCTGGGAATCTGGACATGTAGCCAGTATGGAGATGCAGAAGGAAAAAAGAATTTTTGTCAGTAGTCTGTCTTCATCGTTAAATGTGTCTTTAGCTTTGTGCAATGTTCATTAGTATCACATTGATTCCATTGCTCATTTATTAGGCTCATATTCATGTCAGCATTTACATTTCCTTCCTTTCTTTCATTCCTGTCCTTTTTAGCTGGGTGGTTCTTGTGCTGCCAGTGCTGCTACCTGCCATCACCAGAGCAGCAGATCTAATTTCAGCCACCACTTTATTTCCACACAATGCCCAGGAAATTGTGCTGTTCCTTATCATTAGAGGGGGAATGTCAGCTGTCAGTGGGAGCCACCACTCTTTTTTTTGGGTGGGGGGTGGGAGCGGGAAGCACCATTTGTTGACTCCAGAGTGTGCAATATTGCTACAACATCCAAAAGTTCATTGTGGAATCATAAATTACCATGGCTTTCTAACAAAAAAGGAAAAAAAACACACTGTGGCTAAATAAAATGGTTACTGCCTGGAGTAGCTGTTGAAGTCAACTTTGCTTCTGCTGCTAAAGAGGGGTAAGACTTTGTCTACCTGTGATGGAAGTACAGTGGGGTGTTGAAACCCTGAAGAGTCAGATTGGAACCACAGGCTGGCTGGATTTGTCCCATGACCCATGAGGTTCTGTCCCCCGATATAATGAGTAATGAATGTCCTAACCCTTTGTAACCCAATGTATTGATTTGGAAACGCAAATGTAACCAAATTGATTCCACAAAGGTCAATTTGCATTGGTTCCAAAATGGATGCAAAAGAAATCATAACTTTCCTGTTTGCCGCTGACAAACAGATGGATCAGCCCTTCCTGCAAATCTTCCCTAATGCCTACATGGAGCCTCTTCCTCACTCCTGGTTGGCCGCTCATTCTCTGAATAAGGGAAACCAGTTACTGTTACTTGTGGGGCAAGTGTCAATGCACTGCTGACTCTGAGGACAACATTGGCAGCTGATGCCCAGTACCTATTTTCTGAGCAAGTGCTGTCACGCTTCAAGCTTGCCCAAAGAGCACATCCTGAGCAATCCCAGCAGTCTGGAGTCTGGATGTGGTTGCTCATGCTTGAGATGGGGCATCTGCCTGTGGTCCAAACAGCTTACATTCAGCTCCAGGATCCAACTTACCCCTGCTGTTTGATACCACTTTGGTAATATATCAGACAGTGAGCAGATATAGCAATCCAGTACAGAGACAATCCTCCATTTCTTTCCTCCATTGGGTTATGGTACCATTCGTGCTCAGGGTTGATGGGAAAATGGCCCAGTAGCAGCCCTTGCCATTGAACACAGCCTTTATCCCAAGCCCTGCACCTGCTGGTGTCTCCTCTGTCAGAAGCACCTACTGAAATGAAAGCCTTCCTTCTGATGCTGCCCATTTCGTTTTGAAGATGAGGGTTCCTGTGTTTTCTGAATTCCTCTGATGGCATGACCCTCACGGTACATACACGGTTCATATCATTCACACATACCATACCCAGCAGTGGGCCTTCCTTTTCCACTGAAGAGAGGAAATATTTAGATAATTCAAATAGTAACAAGGCTAATGTATCCCCATGCTTAAACAGATATAAAACTGCAGCCATAGATTTTGAGCTGGTTAAGGTGAAACATCAGCATTTCTGCACCTTTTGCTTTATGACTTCCAGATGGCAATCGTAAAAACGTGTGCAAATCTTAGCAAATCTGAGTAAGTCTTTTTGACATTAATAAAGGTTGCAGTGTAGATAATTTTGTGTGTAAGAGAGAGAAGGACTGCAAACACACACACACACCCCCTCATAAATATCAAAATCAAGCCATGAATGAAGAGCATTCTAGAAAGAGCTGAACTAAGGAAGATTTTGCCTCATCAGTTGTAGCTCAAGAATCACAAAAGGGCAGCACATGATTCATGATTCTATTTAGACGGTTATGAACTTTTATACCATTTTGAATTCAATTATTTTCAGTGGAGTTAATTTACACATATAAATCCCAATGTTACTTTTTATGAAGTGATTTCCCCCTGCCCCCCCCCCATCAACCTATACATGAGTCATGGCTTAATTTAAGCCAAACTTCTCCCCCCACACCATATTTCATTGTCAGAACGTAGCTCTGTAAGGCAGAGGGGGATTATAAAGAACCTACCCTTGAACATATGCCTTTCCATGCAGCAACAGCTTATTATTTCTATGTATGAATGGGGGCACCACAGATAGAAATGGATGAATCTGTCAACTAGCATTCTGCCCAGTGTTTTGCTCTTCCAGTATTAAGTTTATTCCATCCCGTATAGTAAATATGAGTTTACTATATTTTTCCCTTAAGAGAACCTGTGGCTTATAAAGCACCATTGCCCTGCCTCAGTCTCAAGTTCCCTCTTCCAGTGGTAAGCCTTTGGCTTGCTCACGTTTTCCTGCAGCTTCTTCTGCCCCTTTTCTTACTGCAAAACATCTGGCAAGGGAAATAAGATGACAATGCTGCACAGCACAGTGTTTCTGGTTGGTAGTGTGAGGGACCTTCCATCTGGAAGGAAGGGCCCAATTCAAGGTGTTGGTTATGACCTATAAAGCCCTAAACGGCTTGGGTCCTGGCTACCTGAACGAGCGCTTACGTCCGTATATGCCCGACCGCCCATTGAGATCTGCGGGAGAGTCCCTTCTCCGGGAACCCTCCATGAAAGAAATTAGGAGAGTAAGTACTCGGAGGAGGGCTTTCTCTGCGGTGGCGCCCAAC